TAAAGACTTTTAAAGGTTTAAATATATTCTGACTCTGCTTTTTTCCTTTTTATTCTTATCCCAACAAAACCAAAACTCTACTTACCTCGGACATGAGATGTCACCCTTATCTTTCCAAGAGTCTTTCCTGTTTCATTGTTGCTTTCATACCTTCAAAAAAGTTAAGACGAAATATGTAAGATTACATTTTAATTTTATGAAATGAAAATTTTAACATTTCTAAATGGCAACACTTTATAGTTTTTTGAATTTTCAAATACTTGTCTCTTTATATAAAGTACTTAACATTGAACACATATAACCTATGCAATATACCAATTATAGAGTTGTTATTTTCTTTATAATCTAACTAGTAGTTATTGCTTATGCTTATAATCATTTATATTCAGATGATTCTTCTAGCTCTTCTGACTGTGAATTAGAGAAGTTATTTATACAATATCCGAGGATAGACAAGATACAACCAGATTGTATATCTAAAAACAGTTGCCTTAGGGAGTTTTGTGTATAAGATTGTTTTCTGTGTGTGATTTTATTTTTAGTTTTGCTTAACTTTTTTTGTTTTTAATCACAATTGTATTATCATCATTTCAGAAAAGTTTGTAAATTGTGCCTTTTAGCAGCTCATTTCTTTTTTGGCTTTTTTCTTCTGGTCTGTAACATCTTTTCCTTTTAACTGTATGTTCATTAGTATAGCTGCCCAAAACAATTTTGAAAATCCTTTAAAATTTTTCAAACAATGCCTATATTTTTTTTTAAAAAGTATAAAATGTACACTATTTAGGGTAAACTATAAGATATTTCATAGCCAGTTACTAGTTGCCTGCTGTGTGCCATGAACTATTCAGGCCTGGGTGAGGATGGTTACCGTTGTGGACACTGCCCAGAGCCCTCATCAGGACTGAGGCTCTCATTCCTTCAGCTCTTGGGACTGTTGACTGCTAATGGTGCATAGCTGAGTCACTCTCTGGTAATTACCCTCAAATGAGGGGAACCTCTTTGCCCAAGATCACCCCTGCTCTTGCCATATGTATCCACTGACTGAGAGATGAAGGGATGTAAAGGCTTTATGCCCTGGTTTCAAAGAAGAACAACTGTGCAAGGCCATTCCAGCTCCAGACTAACTAGTCCATGGAACCAACAGAAGCTTTCGTTGTAACTACATCATGGTTCAACTCCTCTACTCAGGAACTTCCTGCACTCTCCCGTAGGTCTTGATCTCAAAGACACTCTGGTAACTTCCCATGTGGAAATTTTTATTTGAGAATCCGTTTCCTAGGAAACTTAACCTAAGACTGTGGCTCCAATGTAGGGAGAGAGGTGTGGGCTTGGTTTGATCAATGGATGTTGACATAAACCATTAAGTCAAATACATTATATTCAGTGTCATAGTAGAAGCATTATACAATCTTATGGGAGTGAAAGAGGTGACTAACTGTGCTTGGAATATAGCAGAGGGAGAATTTGAAAAGGTTTTGCAGAAGAGGTAATATTTGAGCTTAACTTTGAAGAACAACTACTTACTCTCTAGGCAAAAAAGGATGTGAAGTAGTCTGGGCTTGTGGAAGAACATATCTTATTACAGTGGTAGCAGAAAGCTCAGTAGAGGTTGATCCAGAGCCAGCTCGTGAGTTACTCTGGAGAGTTTGAATGCTCTTATGCTGGAGTGTGCTTTCCCCTCCCACCTCCCCCTGGTCACTCATGGCGCCCCTACTCCACATACAAGTGTGATTTGAGTAGATACACTTAGAGACATCTTTCTTCAACTTTTTTGTTTGAAGGCTTTTTTTTGCTTCATACTCTTAAAATTTTAACCTATTTTGGAAAATACAAAAACTGTATATTTTCATCTGGCATGAAAGTAACCTTCTATAAGAAGACACAAAGATCATCTGTGGTGCTTAAAATTCTACCAGTAGCGATTTCTGGAATTCCAAGTGAAAAGACATGGTAAAATTTACTTAGTTTAGGTTTCTAACTCATGAAGCCTCCTTTAAAATCTCAGATGAGTGGTTATCCAGTTCTTTGTAGTGTACCAGTATCTTTAATAATGGAACCATTGGCCTTTGACTATTGTTTTTAATACTGATGTACCACAGAGTTATGTAATTGCAGAGTTAGAGTTAGTCAGTGCTTTACAGGCAAGAAAACTGGGGTCTAGAGAGAAGAAATGATTTACCCAAGGTCACACATTACAGGTTGACAAAGCCAGAAGGATAATTTCTTTCTTTTTTTAATCTAGCAACGTTCCCTCTCTGTGGCTATGTAATGAATTTATCAGATCCCTTTCTGAATTACTGGGAGTCAGGATATCATGATACAGTCCCATTTCTGCCCCTGTTGAACCCCATGACCCAGAGCCAACTGTATCAGTCAGTGCTCCAGGTCTGTTTTCTCACCTGGGAAATCAGAGGCTTGGACTAGAGGAATGCTCAGTTCCCTCCTCTTTGACGTTGTAAGAGTCTTTATCCTTTCTCAAATAGAAGATAAGTCTAAGGGTCCTAACAGACCAGTTGAAGACTGAAAGGAGTACAGTTAAGGGAGCCAGCTAGACAAAGTGTTTTCCTCCACCATCTGCTCGACCAAGCTAATAGTAAGCTGCATTCTTGGAAACTTTATTTTCTGATCTGTGGGCATTTCACAATAGTCTCACTTTAAACATATTTTACACTCTTTTGCCTTTGTAAAAAGAAATGTTCAGATTACCTGTTCTTTAAACAGTGCTTCCACAGACCATGAAGAATTTCCTTAGAAACTGACTCAACCTTATATGTTGCTGATGGTTTTAAGTAAATGGGCTGCATCTTGCAGCCAAGCCTCAGTGCAAACAAGAAACATTTTCTGGTCAAACATTTTCTGGTTTGTTCAACTCTATTACAGGGCTGCCTTAAGGAAAGAAAAGTTAAAACCCACAGAGGAACAAAACACAAGCCCCGAGGAGACGGTTTCCAGCCACATTAGCTCAGGTCACCAGAGGAGAAGAGTAGCAGGGTCCTCATGGTCCGGACCGTTGTCATCCCCAGACTGTCATCTTAGGTTTTTCTGCTATTTTAATTTCACCACTTCAAAATAGAGTGAAAATCGGTTAATAGTTTCCATGAGTTTAGACTGTGACCAGAGGCGTACTAAGCAATTTCAGAACCCACAGCAACCGCAGTTTTGAGGAGGGGATGGTGATGGATTTACCAATTCATCTTGGCATCGATTCCCAAGTCAGGGGAGGCAGGCCAGCTGGGTACTGCTGGGTTGGGATGTGAACAGTATTCCTGCATTCATTCTTTCAGCATGCATTTGTCCTAGGCTTATGATATTCCAGGTAGTATACTAGGTTTACTATGGGACAGAGAAATACATTCTTGAGACGTAGTCCCAGCCCTTAAAGAAAATGCAGTCTGATAGAGGAAATAGATGTATGTGCAAATAATGTTAATACAGCGAACACTGTTAAGTGCTATAAGCAACATAAAGTGCTTGGGAAGGGGAGAGAAAGAAGCAGTGTATTCCAAATGACATCTAGGAAAGATTCACTGTGGAGTTGCCTTCTGACCTACACCTCAAAAGGTCAAAATGGCAAATTGCAATTTACTGCAGGTGTTAGCCAATGCACAGGACTATGGAAGCTTCTCATGGTTTGAACGTGTGTGGGCAGTCTGAGGCTGGAGGGAATCAGCCTAGAAAGGGAGGGTGAATACCAGATTTGGAACCAGCTCTTTTTTACATTGTGGAGCCGTATAAATTTTTGCTAACAGGAAAATTATTTGGCCACATCTGTGGTTTGGAAAGGAAACTGGAAGTCACTTTGGGGATGGGGAAGTATTACAGAAGAGAGATGCAAATAAGGGGGCCCAGCAGAGACCATTGCTGTAGTCGAGATGCTAGCACCCTTGTTACCTACCCACAGGCACTTCTTGCCTCATGACCATTTAAACTAAAGTTCTTGTGGTAAGAGGGCAATTAACCTTCAATTTCCACATCTATTCCAGTTCTCCATCTTTCTAACCAGTTCCTCATTTCAGGTTTATTCTAGATTATAAACTCAGTGAGTCAGTCCAAACATCTCAATAGGAACATAGCATATTACATGTGAAACATGGTTGTTTGGTAAGATAGCATGAGATTCTAGGAAAGGATGAAAAGTTAACTAATTTTATCAATACTTCTGAGTCCTGACTCAATAAGTGGTATCCTCTTTAAGGAGGAAATGCCTTTTTAAAACTCAGCATGCCATTAAAGCCAGATAAATTAACTTTTTTAATTGACTTCTCAAAACTGGAACCCCTCCTCTGGGTTCAACATTTCCATTAAGAGTTTATAACACTGAAGTTGAAGATAGCATCTGAACTCAAGGCCTTACGTGATCAAAAGCCTCACTGATTGTTCTGGGCTCACTGATCTGATGGGGATCTACAGCTGGCATGCTCTGTGAGTCTCAGTTATCAGACCACTCTCTAAAATGCTAGGGTCCTTGGTGACCCCACCAGGTGTTTGATGATGAAGCGCATTTTAGAAGTAGTAATGAAGCGTTCTTCCAGTGGAGAACCTGGGTTGGATAAATCAAATCCAGTGCACCACCTGCTTTTGTATATAAAGTTTCATTAAAACACAACTATGCCCATTTGCTTATGTACTGTCCATAGCTGCCTTCACACTACAGTAGCATAATTTCACTGTTGCAAGAAAGCCAGAAATATTCACTTTATGAGCCTTTACAGAAGAGTCTGCCATCACCCCTGCTGTAGTGGAAAGGAACAAGGGTAGGAGTCAGAAGACGTGTTTTAAGTTCAACATTTGCTGCCTATTACCTGGGTGACCTGAGAAAAGCCACTTGATCCATCTGATCGCATTTTCTTCTCCCTATAATAAAGATTGTGAAGGTACAGACTGTGACAAGCACCTGAGCAAGTGTGTTCTGTGACAGTGTTTGTCATGCTGTAAGCTGCTGTGGAAGTGGAGCATCTCTAGTTCCAGCCCGTCATGGGCATTTTTCTTTCCCTCTCCAGAACACCCTGGAGCAGTGCAGCGTGTGCTCCAAGCCCATCATGGAGCGGATTCTCCGAGCCACCGGTAAGGCCTATCATCCTCACTGCTTTACCTGTGTGATGTGCCACCGCAGCCTGGATGGGATCCCATTCACCGTGGACGCTGGCGGCCTCATCCACTGCATCGAGGACTTCCACAAGTAAGCAATCTACTCCCCCACTTCCAGCCTGCCAATCTCTTGCAGTCTGTTGTCACTGCCTGGCAACTGGGCCACTTGGTCTTCTTTCTCAGAGCCATGGAATCTCAGGATTTGATGGGGCCTTAAAAAGAATTGATTGATCCCCCCCATGCAATGCAGGAATTGCTATCAGGTGGTCCATGTGGCCTTGCCAGCCCGGCCTCTACTGCACGGCTTCCCTGGGGCTGGTTCCTGGCATCTTTGGGTGGCTTTAATTGTGAGAAAATTCACTCAGCCACAGAATATTTGTGTTGGAAAGAGGCAGGATCCTGGGCCAGCCCTCCCTGGCCTAAACGTGAACATGTGTGACTTTGAATTGTTGCTCAACTTCTCTGAGCTCTTCAGTTTGGTCATTAGACCAGACCTTTTTTAAGCTCTCCAGCAATAACAGCCCAGGATTCTCTCTCTCCACCCTGCCACTCTACAGATAGGAAGTTATGGGAGGGCAGACCCAGAACGATTCAGTCCTTACTAAATGCAAGCCTCTCACATGCTCAGAGGCAGCATAATGCCATTGTCCCTCCTCTCACCTCTTCTCCCACCCACATCCTTGCTTTCACAGGATATTTTCTAATGAAATTAGTGAAGTCAGTACTATGCAGTCTTTTGAGGAGGATTAGAAAGTACAGCCTCAAGGTCAAGACTACTTACTCATGGGCCTGGAAAAATATCTCCCCACTTCCTCAATTGTTTCACTTGCTGGTCCTCTTTCATGGGTTTTTCATGAAAATTGTATGGTTTTACATTTTGCTAACTTTTATGTGTCCACTTAGTTGGTTAATTGGTTAGTCACATTTTTAAATATTTTTAGGAATTCTATGAAAGCTTAGATATTATTTGCAGACAAGAAAGATAGAGGCTTTCTAGACTGTGTTCATGGGTGGTGCCCGTCCAGACAGACCGAGGCCCTCAAGGACATGAAGCTTGCATGGCTCACCAGTGTGGGGTTCATTCTGGGGCCTCCAGATATGCAGTCTTGTGGGTTAATTCTCACTGCTCTGTTGATTGTCAACAACCAGGAGATACTTGGCCACAAGCAGTTGGGGACCTGAGACTCATAGTTTAAAAATGACTTTCCTGACCACTTTCCAAGTAGCAAAGAAAGTGAAAACTTCACCAAAAGACGTGAGGCTGAATGAATTAAAAAGCCCCAGAGGCAGAAATTCTCCACCTGAATTAGGCAAGGAATGGCTCACTTTGAAAGGGCAGTCACAGCATAAATTGTACTTCACATTATCGATATTTTTAGCTTGTAATTACACATGAAGAAAGAAAACCTGCATCTATTTAAAAGAACTGAAAAGATACCAAGAAGGAGAATGTTTCTGTCACTGTGCCTCTCCTTTCTTAGACTCACCCTAATCCAAGAAAGATTGACAGATATAATCAGAGCACACATGTTTCTGTTGCTGATAAAGAATGATATATTGCACCCTCAATTAAAACAGGAAATCAATTCTGACAAATGTAAACTTATATCTATGCATTCATCTCCCATTTCTAAAAGTGGGGAGCATAATTAGAGACTTGTGGCTGGTGGCATAAATGTGTGATTCTGAATGCCCCAGAAAAGCAGACTTGAGCAATTGAAGAGGAAAAAAATCTCTAGCCTTCAACTGTCTCCCCACCACCACCACTAATTCAGTGGCTTGTTAAAACACAAATTATTTTTTAAAAATAACATTGTCTGTGTGATTAGTACTTGGGGGAAAAGCTTCTTTTTATCTTTTCCCCACTTCTTGAAGAAAAATATAAGAACATTTTACAGAACCCTGTTTTTGAGCCTAGAAAGTACTAGACCACAAAGCAGCTAAAAAGTCCAACCCTGGGTGAACTCTACTAGGCTAAGGAGAGGGGAGTTTAAGGGGAATACGGTCTTCTTCTGCAATTTTGGGGAGTGCTTGTTCTTGGCCATTCTGAATAGGTCTTCTTTGTGAGCTTTTAAGAAATGTATTTTATTTAAATTCAACCTCTCTACAAAGAGGTTTCCGTGTGCCCATTACCGTACTAACTGCTAATGGGGAGAGAGATGAGAAGAGGAATCGCATATGGTTGAAATCGCACCAATTCGGAGAGAGAAGCCTCTGTCAGCAAGGAGCTTTTCAGCAGGAAGGTGCAGCGTATGTGCATCATCAGGCAAGAAGGACTCAAAGCCAGGAGATGGGCACAGGCAAAGGCTTGCGCCAGAGTCAGAGGAGATTACTTGGCCCTAGCCTCCTGGAAGTAGAATTTCCAGTGTTTTAAGTGGGAAACAAGGAGATTCCTCGCAGAAAGAATAACTTGGGCAATAAATGAGGGTACAGAGTTAGGAAACGCTTCTCCATGTTCAAGGATGATTTTCTTGGCTGTTACTAGAGCAGCCTGGGAGTGAAAGTTACCATGAGATAGAGGAGAACCATGAAAGGATTATCCTTACCTGCTTACAATCCTGTCTTTTAAACCAGTGCTTCCCAAACTTCACTTGGGGAACTTAATAAACTGCAGATTCTAATTGCATAGGTCTGCAGTGGGCCCTAAAGTTCTGCATTTCTGACAAGCCCCCAGGTGGTCTTGAGTTGTACTTTGAGTAATGAGCTTCTGAAATACTATTTTTGAGGCCTTGTGAATGGGTCACTCCTTACATAACCACCTTCTGTCAAGGTTGGCTCTAGCCCTCCATCCTGTAAGGCAGGAACTCTTTCCCATATATATCATTTCAGAGGACTGCTCAAACTCAGTCCCGGGCATACTGACTGGCTCTCACCTCCACACACATGCACGCTTTCCCATTTCTTCTAAATGGCCATCTTTCAAGGTACAACCCAACTGCCATCTCCCCAAGAAGCATTCTCTGATCTCAATCCCGCCCTATCCCCTTGTTCCAATTTACATCCCTTTGTTCTACAGTTTTGTAAATTGACTATCGATAGCATTTACACAGTCTGGCTATTAATACAAAACACACATGCACACACACACCCATAAAACTTTACAGTAACCACCTTAAATCATTTTTGCAATGTTGTAAGATATGTATAAATTAATAGAACAAATACAGAAGTAGATAACACTCCCTCACTAGTCCGACTGCTAAGTCCTCATTTATATCTGTATTCCTAGTGCCAGCACAGTGAGCCCAGAAAAGCAGGCTTATTTAAATGACCCTTTCATTGTGTGGAGCCTTTATTCCTCTATCTTGTGCTTTCTTATCATGTATGTTACACTCATCCATTTATTTGTTTCATAAGCATCCATTTGTTGATTACCAGGACACACACAGAATGATTAAGACCATCCCTCTCTGCACCTTGGCTCCTGTGGCTGTAAAGTAGAAATGATCAAAGTAGTTCCTCATAACAATGCTGTCAGTAGAAAATAAGGTCAAGTGCTTAACAAGGGCTTGGCACATAATAAGCACTCAATAAATGTTAGCTATTTTAGCCATCAAAAGTGTTATCCAATTTTATCATTATTATCATTATTATTGTTGTTGTTGTTGTTATCTGCTCAGTCAACCGAACCTTGAAATAGACCACCTGAGATCTGGAACAGTCCTTGAAATGCCAACCAAAGAATGCTGTGGGACCTCAGAAACACCTTCCTGTGTCTTCTTTTCATCCAGGAAATGAGGCCAATTTTTAGGAAGGAAAAAATCCTTACTCAGCAAAAACACAGTTTATGCTTTTGCAAAGAGGAGGAACCTAGAGATTGAACATAAAGGCCCAAGTAACTTCTTATAGAGAGAAATGTGGGCGATGCTTCATTTCATTAGCTATAACCTGAATTTCTGCTCTGTGCACGAGTTACAGAGGTGGTTTTGGGGGACTCAGAGGTGGAGCAAATCCTGTATTATGGAAGGTTACAGTTTGGTGGTCCTCAAAGATATGCAAATAATTCCTACTGTAATAAGCAGATGCAATGACATCTCCTACAGTAAGTAATCCTACCTGGGGAAATTAAGTAAGGCTCATGGATACAGGGATAGGCAAGACATACTTCTGACCTTATAGAATGTACAGTCGCAATGGGGAAAGGAGATTTTGCAGTTGATTCTAGAAGTCTGCTTATTTCACTACTGGTGACCCAGATTCAAAAATAATCAGATAGTTCAAAGCAACTTTTTTGTCACTGAGTATAAACTTCTTGCACAAAATACCAATTATAATAACTCTGATTACTGCCACAGTTGTACCCTGGTCCTTTTAATTTTTCTTTCATAGCAATCAATTGATCTGATGCTTAATTCATATTTATTTAGGTTGCAGTCATACAGATGTCTTTTGGGTGCTGCCAGGAAAATTAATATGTATTACTTATAGAGCATAATATATGTAAAAATGCTTTGACAACCATAAAGTACTCTGTAAAGCATTAGATTACTATCATTATTTCTTTTTAAGTCTCACCACAAATAAATAAATTTTAATATCATCAATCTTAAAAATTACTGTGAATAAATGGAGTTGCACAGTCCCTTTTTTTTTTTGAATTTTTTGTTTCTTATCTATGTCCATTTCAAATCATGTCTCATTTCACACCATCACAAATACCACCCCCAACCTCCAGAATATGTAGATGGATACATGGCCTATTTTTTTATCCTATTAATTTGTTATGAGAAAAAAAGTTAGGACTAGCAGTCATAATAAAGAATATGAAGATATTAATAAATATTAAAATCCCTCACCAACAATTAAGCTCAAAATGATACATATATGTGTGTGTAGATATAAGTATATATGTATTCAGATGTGCTGTAATCCTTTAAAGAATAAAGAACTTGTGAACTTTTTAACTGTTTTTTCAAACAAAAGTTTAACACAACCAAAATGTAACAACTGCAGGTTTGGATATAGTAAATTTGGTGTAAAGGATATTTAAATTCACTAACTTCTGCTGTTTCAAAAAATAGTCATTTGAAGTCTATTTCCCAGAATCTGAGACACATTTCAAACAAAAAGGTGCTAATAAGTAGAAATGAGGCAAAGTCACCAGGCTCATAATAGTGAGATCAAGCCTGGGCAACGCATACAAAAGTCTAGAAGCAAATGGCAGAGACAAGCAGGGGCCTCCAGGACTTTTGTTCTCCGCTCTGAGGATCCCAGGGTTTGGGTTTGAAATCTATGCACAGGTTAATTCCGTATGAGGTACTAGAGGGCCAGTAGCGCTAGGTGCTCTCATGCATAAGCAATTCACACACTGCCCCGCCTCTTCCAACATCACTTATGATCTACAGGGACCTCAACAATCATTGAGTCTGTCCCTTATTTTAGGGTTGACAAAGCAGACAGACCCAGAGAAGGAAAATGACTGGCTCAAGGTCACAAACTGGTAGATCAAATGTCCTCTTAGTTTGCATCTGTTATCCTTTTATTTTAATCTTTGTGTCTCACCTCTTTGTCATTGTCTATGCTCAGTATCAAACCAAAACTATCTCTTTGTTTTCAGGAAATTTGCCCCCCGGTGTTCTGTATGCAAGGAGCCTATCATGCCAGCCCCGGGCCAGGAGGAGACTGTCCGGATTGTGGCTCTGGACCGCGACTTCCATGTTCACTGCTACCGCTGTGAGGTCAGTGGTCTGCGCCCCTAAACGCTGCATGGCAGGCATTGAAAGGCGTGTTAGAGCCCAGTTTTCATAAACATAGCAATTAACAAATTTGGGACAGCCCCTGGCGCATGTGTTCATGGGACTTAGGTTTTAGATCTGTCGTGGGCATTTAATGCTAGTGATATTGGACGTCATTTTACCCCTGTCACTCTCAGTTTCCAAAAAGGAGTCATGCTTATCTTTCCCAAATATGGCTATATGGCCAAAATGTAAAATTGCATAGTAAAGGGCATTGTAAATTGTAAAGAACTAAGTTAGTGGGGAAAGTTATTGTTATTATTTTGTTGTTATTGATGTTCTGAATCTTCAACTTTGGCTCTGATATTCCTGTAGGGTAAAGGTAATATTGTCTCCCATTTAGAAGGATAAGAATTTATTCTTTTCCAAGGCATTGGAACTTCATGTTCAAAGTCATGGAGATTCATTAAGTTTGCAAGCATCGACTGAGCGCTTTGTACAAGAGGTCAGGTGACTAAGAGCTATAGGAGAGTTATGCATGAGGTTCCATGGGAATATATATATATATATATATATATATATATATATATATATATATATATGCTATAATCCCAGCTGGCAGTGACAAGGAAGGCTTCTTGCCCAAGGGACATGTAGTCATTTATACAGCAAAGGGCAGCAAGTCTTTCCCCTACAGTCCAGGTTCTAACAGGGCACCGCTTTCAGAGAGTGATTTTAAAATGTTTTCTTATCCTGGTTCTATAAGTTACCCAGACCTCCTCTATGGAAGCAGATTTTTTATTTTCTGTTAGGTCTCCTGTGTGCAGCAGTTTTAGCTCCCTATTACCTCTGAGGGATAATATGTACATCCTCATTACCACACCTTCATGAGACTGGCTCACCTAGTCCCACTGGGAAGATCTTCCCAAGACCCAGACTAGCTCCCTGGAACTACGTTCATCACATTCGCTGCCTTAGCCATAACCACTCACCTGTTTTATGCACTGGGTTCCATTTTCTCCTAGAGCCCAAATTGCCTTAACATGAGAAGAGATAATAAAAACAACCAGCTTTTATACAAAGTTTATGACTAAAAAGCAACAGTAATGACCAGTCGTCGTGTTTAAAATTGACCTGAATCATATGTGTATAAGAGCTCATGGATACTTTAGAGATTATTTCACAGATGGAGAAACCGAGGCTCAAAGAAGAAAGGCTTCTTGACATTCTTCACACATACACCAGTAGGCTTTGTGTTTTGAATGGTTTTGTTTTCTTGCTAAGAGGTATATGAAAATGTACCTTTCCTCCTTCCAGATTAAATGATAGCTGTACAAATTAGTTTGCTTTAAAATACTGAGAATTTCTTTAGAAACCACACAGTAGAATGGGGAAAGCACTGAATTAGAAAAGGGAGGCCATTGTTCTAGTCGCCGCATTGCACTGGACAAATCACTTCCCTCTCTGCTCCTCACTCCCCCTCTCTAAAATGAGATCATACAGGGCACCCCATTACGGCTCATTTGGGCTCTAAGATTCAAGGACTTCATGGTCGCAGCACTGTGCTCCACTCTGGGCTCTTCAGCATGCCCTAGTAGCAGTAGAAGTTACCTCATTAAATCCTGAAAATCATGTCATTTATGAATTGTTCTTCCTTTCTATTGTGGCCAAAAGACTTAGTTTGGTTTCACTACTCAGTTTCTTGAGTGCTTCCAGAGCTACAGAGTATCTGCTCGTTCATTTTGGTAAAGCCAACCTTGCTGGGAAGTCCAACTGGGGCTGCTGTTGCGGTTGCCATTGCATCTCAGGCAATATCCTTCTTGAACTTAAATTTCATTCTTTGTCAAATGTAGACGTGAGCTCCAATGACAGTTCTGTCATGCCGGATGGCAGAGGCAGGGTCTGCAGCAATCGCAGGCTTTTAAAAGAGTGTCTACTGAAATTAGCAAGGGCACACACCCTTAGAGGAAGCACTACATTTTTTCCTAAAGAAATTTGTTTTCTCTGAACATAAGGGCCAACACTGAATTATTTAATACTTTACAAAGTGAACTCATAGAGGTGCTACCAACAATAACATAATACCTTACAGTTATGTCCTCTTCACATTTTTTCAAAGTATGTTTCACATCTGTTATCCTCTTTGACCCTCCCAACAGCTTGGTAAGGCAGGAAACGCAGGAGTTATTTTCAGAGTGGCCTTACCTGCAGGGACATGGGAGTGTCAGCACGAAGGGGGCTACCTCCCAGCCCAGCACTCATCCCTCTGCACCTTCATATCTCCTTTGGACAGTACAACAAACCATTCTTCCCCACAATTCCCCTTAGGGTTTTATTTTTGCTACAATTGGTAAGTATGCAAGGCCCATTGGTGGTGGCCCTTCTGCTTCACAAGAGTCATTTCATTCTTCAGCTTTGCCTCTGTCCAGAAATGGCCGAGAGATTTCATCCCTGCACTGATGATAAAAAGGGTAACAGTGAGTTAATGGTTAGGGATATGTTTTATTTTTCTTTTGTTTTTGCTATTATTATGTGGGTTAGACAAGAAAACTACCGTTTGAGATCCTCAGGGTTTGGGTTCTTCTCTTCCTAGACATGTATTTCCTACCAAGTGATCTTAGGAGGGTTATTTTACCCTTTGTAAAAATCTATGTCTTTAATATTTAGTTTAGTTTTATTCAACACTTACTATGTTATACACTGGGGATTGCAGGGACCTGATGATATATGAAGTAGAAAGGTAAGTGGCCACATTTTGGAGGTTTTGAATGGAAAGCTAAAGAATTTAATCTTTACATGTGTAGTTCCATTTTCACTTACACCCTATCCGTCTGTCCTTATTTTTCTAGGATTGTGGCGGTCTCCTGTCTGAAGGTGACAACCAAGGCTGCTACCCTTTGGATGGGCACATCCTCTGCAAGACCTGCAACTCTGCCCGCATCAGAGTGTTGACCGCCAAGGCTAGCACTGACCTTTGAGGTCAGTGGCCCGTTCAGCTGGTTAGTGGGTGGCGCGGAGAAGAGTGAAACACACACACAAAAGAAGAAGAAGAAAAGCAATAGAAAAATAGAAGAAAGGCAATCAAGCTATGGAATGATCTCTATTCTTCATGTAGTAGTAACCTTTCTGTAAAAACACATAGATTATGAGATTTCTCTTTAAGTTCTTAACCAACTACACATTTCACATTTAATTATGTAGGACGTTGATGGGCCTTTGTTCCCAAGGACTTCCACATTTTTGCACGGATTATGCCCCATCCCATTCACTTCTGCATTCCCGTAACTTTTAAGCCCTGTTTGTCTCACTTTTCATCTGGTTGAATGGCTTGTTTAGTGTGGTATTTGCTGTCACGCGGATTTTCCTGAGTGAATCAGCCAGTTCACAGGTGCTTTTAGGCTTGACGTCCCCTCCATCCTATCAGGTCCACGTTGCCTGTGATCACAAAGGGTAGCCATTCTTTCTTTGTGTATTGAAAGGTATATCTTTCTGTGGTTCTAAACTGGTCATGTTCCTTGGAAAAAATGCACAATTTATATGTTAGGCTATAAAGAATTTAAGCTGTAAATTACATAGTTTAAAACAAGCCCAAATTTGTAACCACCCAAATTCAAAATCTATAGTGACCAGTGGGAAAGGGTTAATTTGGAAAACAGATGTTAGTGAGAGAGATCCAAACTTCAATCTTTTTTTTAAAGAACTTGCAGGTGGGATATGCTGAGAAAGCACTGAGGGTGTTATGTTTGAGAAGCCCATTTTTATCCCACGATATTACCTTAAGATTTCCCTTCTCCATGCTGCTGGACACAGTACAAACTTGGTTGTCTCTAAAACATAAAGTTGTTCTATATTGCCCAGTTTTAATATCAGAATTGTTGATTTTTTTCTAAAATTCAAACATGAGTACCAAAACTGACTTTTTCTCTAGTGAAAGATAGCTTTAAAGAGCAGTGAATTCCCCTGCCCCCGGCCCAGGTCTTTTTCACCTGATAATTGCAAATCAGGGCCCATAAAAAAATGTAGTGTTTAGTTTACTTTAAAAAGACAGAAAAACTTGAAAAGATTGTGAAACTACAGTTTCATTATTTTCTTACTCTTTCTGCAACTTAAAATACATATTATAGGAGACATTGTCCTGTCATTGATGTGACATTTATGCCACACTTTCAAAGACAATCACAGAAAAAAGTCCCTTTTCTGAATTAAAAATATACATAATTTCTGCCTAGAATCTTTATTCAAACTCTGTTGGGCAGTGAAATGAATGTCTGCCAACTGCAGAACCATAATTCATTAGGTTCCAACATCTTTCTTTTAAGGAGAAACACCTGCCTTAATAACGGTGTTTTGTTAAACTAATTAAGAATTTTGGATTGAGATTTCTTAAACCTTTCTTCAAATGTTCCACACATATATGCTTTTAAATTATGAAATATTTTAAATATGCACAAAAGTATAAATAATAATATAATGAATTTCTATCTATGTAACACCTAGTTTAAAAAAGCAAATATAACAAATATAGTTACATTCCCCTGTATATCCTTCCTTGGTTCCACAAATATATTTTTCAGTCAGTTTTTTAGACTAATTTTTATTTTTATTTTTATTTTTTAACATCTAGAACAGAAATGAAAAAACATTTGGGCATGTTTTGAATTGCAACTCTTGCCTCAGGAATTCCAATGAAATTTATTTTACTTTAGTAAAAATAATCATAAAAATGGTTCTATTTTTTCAATAAGAAATTCTTAAGTCTGTGGTCACTATTGCTCATCAAAATTAATTGTGGCTCATTTGCTTTGGTCACCAAACAGTATCATTTTAGAACCAGCAAAGTTGTAGTTTTGAAAGTGTTTTTGTTTTTTGTTGTTTTTTTTTACCACTATCCTTTTCTTACCTTAGTAGTCTTATCTCTGATCTGAAGTTTCTCATAATGTGAAACACAATCAGATTCACTTCGGGCAGCATGTGCATTATAGGGTACAAGGGCGATTGTGCCTCTGAACTTCTGTCTTCTAAATTAAAGGCCAGACCATGCTGATCACCTCACAAAGCACTGACTGTGAGACAGTTGGGGAGAGAATATACTCTGAATTGCTTCAGTAACTTTATTTTGTATGAAATGCTTGGGAAAAACTGTTTTTAAGCCGAAAGCAAAGAGCCCAATTTATCGAGAGGTGAATTTTATCTCTTGAATAGCAGTCATATTATTATAAATTTTGCTGAAAAAGGAAAAATTTATGAAATATTTATACTATGAAATGCAATAACATTCTACTTGTTTGTTACATTTAAGTCCTTATGTAACTGAATGTTTACAAGCCAAAAAAAAAAAAAAGCAAGTTATAAGAAAATACTGCCACAAGCCCATCACTGTGGCATTGCCAGAATACTACTTGCTTACAGTCTTTATAGTACATTTTTATCACAACCTCAGAGTATCTTTACCAAAGATTTTTAAAGTAAATCTTTTTAAATATAGACTTACTATACTTTTATATAATAATGAATGTGCACACATACATATGCAGAAATATTTAGATTTAGGTTTTTTTTTTCTTTCACAAGGTATAATAAGGAAAGGATCCTACAATATTTTATTCCAGGATTTCTTAAATATATGACTTATATTGCTTTCTTGTCTTTTCTATTAATCATTTGGCTTAAACAATGCCAAATCACTCTTTGTTATTTTAGTTACATGAACTGTTGCCTATCACAGAGATTTAAAGATCGTATTACCTTAATGATTTATTATTCTATTATCTTTTGATATATTGTCTTAATTGATGACATTTAAATTCATAAATAATGGGAAAAAATCATACAGTCTATTACAGAAGTTAGTAAAAATATACTGGTTTTAAAAATTGTCAAGAACACAAACACTTAGTGATTCTGTGTAACAGGAGAGACACGGAAAAGGGAAAATCACCCGCTCCGCCATGGGCTCTGCAGACCATTTCAACGCCAGAGTCCTTCATCGCCCGGATCCCCAGCTCATGCTGACTCCATGTGGTGTCTAATGTGCAAACAAAATTGCCTTTAAAATTTAAAAATAAGTCCTGTGTTCCAGCATAAGGTGTCAAGGGCTTTGAGATGCTGGAAATCTCTGCAGCTCAAACATGTGGGTTCTTGTTCTTGTTGACAAATTATTTCTGTAGGAGCAAATTCCCTGGTCAAAATTCCCTCATTGAGTATATGCTGATTGATGTAGTGGAATTCCTAACACTTGTAATTGTTTTCTCTCTATGAAAGATCCTTTAGAGATGCTTGTGGTGATGTTTAAAGTCTATAAAACTCTACATCTAGACAAGTATTTTCATCGGGGTTCAGAGGAAGAAAGAGAACACTTCTGTGGGGCTATCATAGATAGGGCTTTGTGGAATACAGAAAGGACTCTGAAAACACATCTTCTAACAGTTTTCCTAGTTAGTAAAAATCCTATTAATGTGAACCAGCCAGGAATAACAGTGTTATTTCTATTTGATACAGTTTGGGTGTCTCTTGTCAAATCTGTGTCAGCTGCCCCTTGATGCCTCTGTTTTCAAGTTTTGAAGGGTGTTGGGGAAATTCTGGCAGCTGCTAGGGAGATCAGGGAAGAACTGATGTAACCTCACAGCCTCTCACCATTCCTCTTGGCTTGGAAAGGCTTTTTCTCCATATACATTTCTAGAAATATTGCTATACTACCTTAGGATTTCACATTTGTAGTTTAAACAAGCGATTGTCCATCTGTTGCCTCAAGCTACAGTACATGTGTGTTACGAAATATGACAGCATGTTCTATACCCTGCTTTAGCCATCTGTGGAAAACCAGGAGACTGAAAAAGATATACCTCTGTGAAATGTTCCTCGAGTCCCTCTCCTGAGATTGCTCTTTTGGTGCACTTTTGTGGGAGACAATCAGAGAGCAACATACACGTGTGCCTTATTGTCAAAGACTCTTTGCACTACTAGGAGTTCTCCACTGAAGCATCTAGAGCTTAAATACTAATCCTGAAAGCCCAAAGATACACTCACCAGCAAAACCCAGAGAGGTCTTAACTTTTCATCTTAAGCTTTTCTAATAGTATTTCTTTTCTCCATTATGTCTTGGAAGTACCTTAGAGATTCTTAAAATTGAGGAAACATTCTTAATGGCCACAAGGTGATGTATTGGATGTTGTTATTGATTATTTGGTCTTACTCTGGCTTTAGTCAGATAATGAAGACAGGACTTCACGTTGAACCTGTAACAGCCATTCAGCATATCTACTTTTTAAAATTGCCATAATTTTTTGGTTTGTTTGTTGTTGTTGTTTTCATTTAATAGTGGACAGAACAAGTTTAGAATCCTAGTTCTAAGTTATTACAGGGCAACCGTGAACATTTGAGGTCAAGTTATCTACTTAACAGGTAACTATACTGAATTTTTTCTCCTGAGGCTGTTGTTTGGTTAGCATACAATTTTAAACCTTTAAAAGATTATCTGGTTAAAGCTATGCAACTTGGTAAGAATTCTTAATCTCTCTCCCTTCCTCTTTTTCTCCCTCCTCTTTTTTCCTTCCTTCTTTCTTGCTTTCTTTCTTCCCTCCTTTTCATTGTACCTATTAATGCTATCCTGCTTCAGCTTTTCATAAATAAATCAATGCATTATAGTCCTTATGGTGTTATGATCATAATAAGGGAAGAAGGCTCCCACAAAATACATGTGGCATCCATAAACCCTTTCTTTCTAGGATATATTTCCCAGATCGTGTTTATTTCTAAAATGAGATGAGATAATAGAGTCTTTGGGTTTTATTTTAATAAGAGTTCATCAGGGATTCAGATCCTAGAGTTCTTGGTAAATTCATTTATGACTGCCCTCGTTTTCTCAGCTAAATGGAAAGTGATCTTTCTGAGACTCAGGTTTTCAGGGTTTTTTTTTTAATCCAAAGCATTTTTTACTAACAAAACAATGATATTTTTTAGTGGTGGCATGTTATTTTACTCCACTGAAACTTGGTAATTTTTATTATGGCAAGGAAAAACTATTGTCTATCTGGAATTTTTATACATATCAGCATTTTGCCCATGACAGTGATATTAAATCTTAGTATTTTATAAAAGCAACCTAAGAACAAGTCTGGGTCTCTCACTGAAGGACTTTGTTAAAACTTAGGTCTGAAATTCTTTTGAACTCTGGCTAATACTGATAAAAATATGCATGTGCCCTCTGTGTCCTTTTGTTTGTTTGTTGGGAAAAAGCTTATAATTCTAGGACTGTGTCTCCATTTTTGTTCCTTATCCTCACTTTCATCCTCTACAGGTTTTCACAAGGTTGACACTGATTTTCCTTTTGGAAAGGAATCACATAGGTGGACAGTAAAACATAATAACAATATAGAATACTTAATTCAATACATAAATGAAATTGCCAAGAATTAAGAAAAAGTCCCAGTGAGTATTTCATTTTAATATATAGGCAGAGTAGTTTTTGTTTGTTTGTTTGTTTGTTTGTTAACCTGTATTCAGGTGGAGTGGGATTCAGCAGCAGAAGGGGAAATTTTAGAGGAGAGACAGTCTGCAATTAAAACTATGGCAACACACGGTTCTTGTGTAGTGTGACTGAGAATTTTCATAAGGGCTTTAGGGAGCAGCAATCACTATTGTGTAAGGAGATAAAATATATATATTTCCAAGTTAATGAGATATTTAAAAGGCACTATGGCTAACAATCTATTTTTCCTCTGTCAGAAAAAAGTAAAATGACAGCTGCTGCCGGGTTCTGTGCCTGGCCACAACTACACTAGAAATTTGATAATACCTGACCTCTTATCCCCTCGGAGAGTGGGGCATAGCTCGCCTCTTTCTGGGAGATGATGATGCATATTCTGACATGTTTTTAGATAAACTACACTACACCCTAAGCATCTCTGCAGGTTAGAGATTTCTGTATTCATACAGTGATTTATTTGTTTCCAATGTACTTACTTGGTGAGCGCAAGTACTAGTTTTTTGATCTTCTGTTCAGATCTCTTTTCTATGTCATGCCTAATAACCACACTATGGTGGATTGTACCTCTTTTCTCTTTTTAGCTGCAAACAGAAAATTAAATATCAAATGGCATATTTTCCCTTCAATACTGAAAGGACAGACACATTCCTTTCTCTATTTTACTTTCCTGGCTCTTGTTCCAAAAAGTTGTGGCTTTATTTTAGTTGTCCAACAAGCAAGTGGCTGATTTTGGGGAAAGTTGTGTGGAAGATGCATTTTTATGAAACTCAGTGACATTTCCCCCTTGATGTTACCAAAAAATCACTAAAATCTCTGCTCTTTGTTTCTGATTAGCATACAGAAGTCTCCAACAACTCTAATAGAACTGGCTCTAGAGCTGAGCAAAACAAGTCTAATGTCTAAATATTTGCCTCTCAGTCATATATTAATAATTCTTTCAATTTTCCCTTGTTTATTGACAGGATGTCAAGGCCAATTAAATTTCTGCTTTTTCTCTGAACTGTTGGACCCCAAAATGTTTTCTAATATTATTTCAATCTATTGGGTGAAATGTAGCAATAGCTTTGGTTCAAGCTAGGTTAAAATATTTTTTTTCAGGATTGAAAGTAAATTGAATTTGAATCACCCAAAGGAAACTGATATTAAATGTGGAAATTTCCCTCAGGGACTCAAACCCAGGAGAGAGAATGCTAGAGGAGGGCAGATGTGCACACAACTTTATGTGTCGTACTGGTTTTGATGTTGCCAACATCAAAGTCATGCTGAAAATAAGAAGTAAGTTAATACATATGCCATGCCTGACACTCCCACTTCTGGTAAATGTTCATAAAGTCTCCTCAACCCTTTTTTTCCTGGATTCTTGATAGATTCAGCATAAACATTTACTGGCTAATTCATTTTGAGATTCACTTTCATTCTTCTCTGTTCAAATGCTTATATGCAGAGATGCTGTGATTTAGACCAAGTGAACAGCTTTTCTACACCATCAGTTAGGAACTATCCTTAGGGGGCCATATTTTCTCTTTACACTTGTCTTTCTAACATCTTTATACCTTACTCATTTCTTTAATTTAATAATCACTGTAAGGGAATCAGCCCCCAAGTAACTTTGATTCAGGCCAACTGCAGTACGATCAAACAGGTTCCCCTGGTGCTCCATCAGAAGAACTGTAGTGTAAGGAAGAGTAATTCTTCCCAGTGGCATCAGTAAAGCTTCGTGAAGTAGTAAAATCTGGTAAGAATCTTGAATTGATGCATTGACTTACTTAGAATTGAGGGAAGACTGACTAGTCAGGGCACCAGAAACAACAGGAAAGCAGAGGCTGCATTTAGGCAAGACCCTCTGTTTAAGTACCGCAGATTCTGGAACTTCCTTACCAAGAGAAAGAGCTTCTAGATAGGCAGGTTCGGTGGGAAGGAAAAGGCATAGAGGAAGCCTAATTCAATTTTATTTGCTTTTTCATTTTTTCATAATTGAAAAATAGGATGGCCAAAATGTAATGCAACACATACAGTATGAAAAACAAGCCTTTTTATAACATTCTCACTGTACAGTCTTAGCGGCTCAAAGGTACATACTTCACTCTTGCAGCAAACACACTTTGTCTTTTGATCTCCCACCAGAGAATGAGCAAGGCACCTCTATTTTCCTGTTGCTTCTAGGTCTATAATTAGAAAGGACTCCATAGTCACCTATTCCATTGTGTTGAAATTCCCTTACAGATTAATGGCTAGCAATAATACAGACTCTGCTTAAGCATCACCTACACCAAATAGCTCATCACTTCTTAAGGTCTTCCATTTCCACTGTCACACTTTGTTCTGAGTTCTCCCCTCCCCCCAACCATCACAGCACCTACCTTTGTGGCTGATGTTCTCCTTGGTGCCACACAAAACTCATCTTTAGTACAAAATTAAATGTTGCTTCATCCCTCCATTTTTACTTAAAATGTATTTTTTGCTTTTGGCAGCATGTTGCTTTTAAAATAACATCTGAATTTTAGCTGAAAATTATAAAAACCTTCTTTAAAAAATTTTAAAACTAGTGAAGGCTCTTATGAAGGTCAGGTTTAGAGTTTATGAGTTTTTTATTGTTTTCTTTCCTTCTTTATTCAAATGACAAATGGTTCTGTCAGTTGCTATATAGCTTTATGCCTTTCCCCAGTAACTATCCCAGGAACTGTACATCTAGTTACTTGGTCTGCTGATAAATATTGGGAAATGTCAGTGTGTGATCTCTATTTCTAACAAGGCAAAAGTCAAAAGCAAAAGACAGTGGTTCTGTTAAAACTCATTACTTCTGGTTGGGCAAAAGGCAATCATTCTTGGAGAAAGAAGACATATGTTATGGTTTTATGTAGAAAGGTATAAATTCTTTTCTTACTGCTCTGGATTACTAGTTTCCATAGTACTGTCTGGCCTCGGGGAGGACAAGGCCTGCAGCTTCTTCTGGCCCAGTCTGGAACCAGAGAGCCATATGGGCAGAACGTGTCATCAGTCTCCTGGGCAGGACCTGGGGTGGCTTTCTGAGGTCTAAACTAATAATTCCTAAGAGAGCTTACAAACTTCTTTCACACATAAAGCATCCCTGGGAGGATGGTTATTAATAGCCGAATCCTAGAAGAAAAAGATGAGGCTCAGAATTGTTAAGTGACTTGCTAAGAGTGATACAGCTGGTAAGGGGCATATTTGGGGACGTACTCAGTCTTACAAGTCCAGCAGTCTCTTCTGTGGCCACTCTCAGCACAGAATACCAGAGCACAATGTATGCTTCTCGCAGACGGAAGTACCCCCCATTCTATGGCATCCGAGGAAATTGCATCGGCCGTTTAGCTGTTGGGGCAAACCCACATGTGCACTGTTGGCGACCACAGAGCTGGCATGCTCAATGGGACAACTTGTGGAAAAGGACTAGGTGTTGTGTCTGATCAGTGCTGTGATGAAGTCAACAAGGAAGGGCCACCGTGAGGAACAAACAAGTGTGGCACTGAGGCACACTGCAGCAAATTTCCCCAGAGACCCTTGGTTTACTGAAAAACTCTGTGGAACTGTGAGGTTCAGAATATCAACAGAGTTCCTATCATTTAGAATTCAGTGCAGTGCATGGGTGACTTTATCCTTAAGACAAGTGTCTGTCCTGTGGACTGCAGTGTAAGCCCCACGGAGGGAGAAACTGCAGTAGGTAAACAGTGCATATTACTGTCTCTCTCAGTTCACATTGATCTGAGGCTCACCAAGTGTGTGTTAATGCATCAGGAATTTCCCAACCAGCCAGACAACCCATGACCTTTGAATGTCCGTGAACAAATACTATAGGACTGATTACCATTCTGAGATTTGGCCTTTGCCATTGGATAGACTGGGCTCCCTGGGCTGTTGTAACTTTATGATTCGTATGTACCTATCACAGGATTCTGGTACTGTGCATTTCCAGGACACTCACTGGGAAGCCTCTGTGTTACTGTAGAAGCTGCTGTACACAGCGAGTCAACCACTGGCCATTCTTTCTCTTGACCTTCATCCCTCAGGAAGCTCTGCCTTTTGGTGTGTGCTCTTGGCTTTTTATTTCATCCCATTTCTTTCTTATAGTTATTTGGCTTTTGGTTAAAATCTGTGACTCTGATTGAAAATAATTCTTTCTTCATCTGAGTTAAATCTACTGCAGGAAACCTTTAAAATTTGCTTTCTAGGCATTTTTCCTCCCCAGAGTTTATCATCCATCAAGCCAGTCTCATCATCTGTCTGCTTATTCCCAGGGATTAGTAAGGGCCAAGCTGAGTAACAAGCAGCCTCTCACCTCTGTCCAGTCTTCACACCTGGGAAATGCAGGAGGGACCAGCCCAGCCAGAAGAGTGGTAACCTTGGCTGAGATGACAACAGTCAGAGTCTGGAAAGGAGCCTCATTTTCTGTGAGGTTTGATAAATGTTATGGCTGATGGATTGGAAAACAGTTCTTGTAGAGTAGATGGAGCACCCCCACCTAGGAGTGGATTAATAGGAGAAGCATCCTGAGGACTTTGCAAAGTTATCCAAGTGAGTACACCTGAGTAGAGACTCACTTGGGTAGAACCTGTGACATCTTAGTAGGGGACATAGCAGGACAGTGAGGCAGTAAACACAAAAAAGCAGCCCTTAAAAAATACATAAAAGAAGCCACATGCTCTGCTTTATCTTTACATAATATAAAGAAAATTATTAATACAACTGTTCTTCCTCCTTTCTACACAATATAGTCTTTCATATTTAGGGGAAATATAATTGTGTTGTCTTTAAAACACACACCCTTGTGTGTGTATGCACACATGCCCACACTCATCCACACACACACACACACACACAAACATCTTCCAAGAAAGCTGATCCTTCAAAAAAGAAATCTTATTTTTCAAACACAGGGTTCTTCAGGCCAGAAAATTAATAATTGCTAGACCTGACCCATTTTTTGTGGCTGCCAAAAAGGAAAAGTTATTTAAATTTTGTATGGATCCAATTATCTCTTAAAATATTCCAAAGCTATTTGAGATGGAGTTGGAAACTAAGGTAGTTCTCTCCTGCTTGATTCCTTTTTAATATTTTTATCTGTTGGGAAAAGGGTAAAGAACTATTTTGGGCCGTTGTTGATGTATTGTGTTGCCACTTTTGTTCACACTGAGGCGTAGGATTAATAGTCGCTTTCTCGACTCCATTTCCTCAGCAAGAGAGAGCAAATATTGGGCCTGAATGTCTTTCCTCATGGAATTATTTAACTCCACTCTGAACTAGTTTAGAAAATGTAAAGTAAGGCGAGCTAGACTTTCTTGGAAACATTTCTTCTTTCTTTTTTTTCCTCCCCCTTGGAAGACATATGTATAAAGTATAAAAAATCTAGTTTTTTTCTCATTTCTTTTTCTCTTTTGGTGCAGTTGATGACTGTTTAGTAATAACAATAAACCAGGAGTAGGAGAATAGCCTAGCCAGGTGATGATGCATCTGACAATGTGTTTCATTCCTTCAAACACAGACTTTGAGAGGAAAAGAGATTTTTGTCATTGAAATACCAACAATAGGAATGACCTCATATTTTAACTTTCAGATGGTAAAAGGTGACTTGATATGTAGGCAGTGGCTGCATTTTACATTAATTCCATATACCCTCTGCTTAGTTTTTATGTGAATATCAAGTACATCAGCATCTGAGGTGAAATTGCCAAAAAGAGTTACAATGCCTTATACCTCCCTCAAAAGGCAGCAATTTGAAACTGTTGTAAAAGGTGCCAGCCATCTAACCAGGCTGAAGTGCATCCTTGATGAAAGATTTAGATGCCTGGAAACTAGATCTTGTCACCAACAGTTTGTAATGAACTAGTTGCAAAATCAGTTTTAAACTACTTCCTGTTACTACCCACTTATTCTCTTGGGAAAGCTGATGAACAAATTATCCAAGAATTATTTCCTTATTAAATGAAGTCAATATTCCCTACGTAGAATCTGAATTACACCCTCCTTCTCTTTCCGGAAGCATATCAAAGAGCAAATAGAAGTGAAGATGACACAGGCTTGTCGGATTCCTTAGCATGGATGAGATTATTGTGTGATTTACGTGCCTTAAATGAAAATGTAAACTCAGATGCAAAACTTTACAGCTGAGTGTAGCATCGAACGTTTACCATGCCATCTATGCAAGAATTTACTCTGGCTTTTTGTTTTGTTCTGTTTCTTCATCTTTATCATTAGTGTAACAGAATTGGGGCTCTCTCTCTGGTGGGAATATGCACACTTATGAGATGCACACAAAAAAGGAAGGAAAGCACTTGCTTGGTGGCAGAGCTGTGCCATGAAGTGGCTGCGACATGGAGATGCCTGAGGATAGTCATTTTCTCAGAGCCACACATGCACGCTTTTATTTCACGGCTTTATCGCAGGCTTTTCTCCTTCTGTGCCGTCACCTTTGAGAAAAACGATTGCACCTTCTCCAAATCTGCCTTTTTAACAGCTTCCGTTGAGCTGGCAAGATGTCCCCAGCTCTGAATATAGCCATTTGTCGACTCTGGCCTCTGCGAGACTGCCTCGAATCTGTGATCTTCTGCTCAGCGTACACATCAGCAAAGTGAGAAGATAAGCCCTAAATATAGGCTCTATTAACTTTACTTTTAGATTTACTGCCTTCAAAAAGTGCCTATTCTGAGAAACGCAAACGTTGTTCCCCCATGTGTATGTACTCACAGTCCCCAGAGCCCCGCAGTGCGGCCTTCAGAAACACACTGTCTACGGGAGTAGGTGCTGAGATAAGGGAGCCTTGCGAATGGAAGGAAGTCACTCATTTCCCATACCCCTCTCAAGAAACACCATGAAATGGGCCACAAACACGTTCCCTGAGCATTCCTTGCTGATACAGCCACTTTATATTTATATCCTCCTGGATGGCGGCATATTGCTGAGGTTTCTTATACTCTGCTTCAAGGGAATATATACTTTATGCAATTGGAATAATTAGGGGAAAATTGTTGAAGAGAATAGAGCTAGGGTCTGTATTAGGATATGTGTCATCTGCATGTTTTATAAACTAAGCACTGGTGGGTTTAGAATGTCAGCACATTTCTTCTTCTATCTCTCAGGCTAACATCAGTGAAAACTAAAGAAAATGTGTTGGCTGTGAGGATTGGAGGCTCAGGGTGCCAAATGTCCTTGCCAGATCTTTAGAGCATCTTTACTTTGACTCCTAAAAATACGAGCATGGGGTACTTAATGGCTTTTGTTTTCCTCATTCTGTCACTGACATTGTGACTACAGATATTTCTGAGGGAGCCGCAGCACAGCCCGGAAAGACGGGTTCTTGCCCAGGTGTGGCAATAGGCCAGGGTCCAGTTACATAGGACAAGGTAGACAGTGCACGATATTTGGAAAAGGGTTGAAGGGAGGACGTGCTTCCAAAAAAGATCTTTCTCAATGTGTCGTCTGACTCAACCAGCTGGCAAACTGCACTTGCCAAGTCGCTCTCTTTCCCTCTAAGTCAGTTGGCTCCAGGTTCACTCGAATATGTCTCTGCTTTGGGAAAGTGAGACACCTCCAGTTAGCCTTTCTCCAAGGAACTCCTGACGTCTCAATCACAAAATCATCTACTACACTACCTGGTATCACCCGATCGAAGTAACAGGGCCCAAGCTCTGGAAGATGCTTTCCGTGCCATTACAGTCACATTCTGCTTCTCATCCAAGGATCCCACTGTAAAAATGGGGGAGGGGAAAAGAGGCTACTGGTTCACCCTGCTCTGGGGGTCATCCCTTTATGAAACCAGTTGGCTTCCTGGAGAAAGAATGATGCTTTTTCACTAAAAATGTCTACCTTTCCTGGTAATGTTCTTTTTCTTGTTTTGCCTTACCCAATTTGAACACTAGTCACTTTTTCTGTTCTAGAGAACCATATTTCAGTGCTAGGTAAGAGTTCCCAAATCTCTGTGCAGTGTCGGAGGGGGTATTGGCATACCAAGGTGTTCTGCCTGGAAACAAGACGGACTGGACAGGAGCGCGACTTTACTCCAGGTTTCAATCTGATGATACTGATTGTGAGAGAATTTTATGTAAATGGTACACAGTGTTTACAATTGAATAGATCTAGGAAAAAGGGAGACAGGGAAAAGCTAGGTTTTCTGTATGCTGAGTGTGTTGACTAAGAGCAAGAACTTCACACTAAGCTCAGTCATAGCCCCACCATGATTACCCACTAGTTGGAATAACATTCCCTGACTTAGGGGAAACCACACCAAAAATGTATAAGGGGTTATGCCTTGTTACACACTGGCATGAGACACCGTGACACTGACAGAGTGACACAGTGTCACAGTATCATGTGACACTGACAGAGACATGATATTCCTAAAATGTAGGTTTCTGTTTATAATTTCACTCCGCAAACTGCATTTCTCTACTATGTCATGAACCACCACTGACATATATCCAAAGTAATCTACATGGTTCCTTATGAAAATAAGAGAATGAAACCTGTTATAAGGAAATGATTTGGGTATTCTTTTGTATTTATGTATTATCAAATTATATTAAAATATGTTTCTATGTACCTTCTATCAGTTTTTTCTCTCAATTATATTTTTCCAATGCTCTGTAAGAATAATTCTGAAAATCATTCTTTTTTTCTGTAAAAGAACTACAACTACTTTATTATGTTTAGAAATTCAATAAACTTCTTACTGCATTTAATTGCCTTTGTATCATTTGCTCTCCATGCAATCCTCTGAGAAACAATGCCTCTCAAAGCAAATACAAAGCCAACAAGAGTGTGAAGGTACCCACTCACCTCTGTCTACTGTTGGCACAGAAGATCGTAAGGTTGGATGTGTTCTGAAATTACTTGATCACCCTGTGTCTTAACCTTACAAGTAAAGCATTTTTCTCTTTTAAAGCTGGATCTGAGTTAATGGGTCCTTAGGAATGGAGGTAGGTGAGAAGGGGGGGGTTCTCCACTCTCATCACCAACATCTGGCTGACTTTTTTTATACTTTTATTCCAACAGTACTGTACGTACTTTTCAAACACTGAGAATCTGCTCTGTACCAGGTACCTTAAAGGATACAGGTATAAATCAGACATACAGTTCCTGCTTCCTATAGTCCAGGAGAGCTGAGAAATATGGGTGCATATAACTGGGAAAAGGAAAGAAAGACTCAAACGTATGGGAGAGTAACTTAGCATTTTCAATGCTATCATTGTTCATTATATTATTTTTAATAGCCCTGTGATCTGGAATTATTTTACTCTCATAGATTAAAATGCTGAGAATGTAAGAAATAAAGTTAACCCCAGATCACCATTCCTTAAGCACTTTTTCAAAGTAATGTGTGCAGTAGACTCCAGCACTTCTGACACCCAGTCCAGTAGTCTATCCACTAAACCTTACAAGTAACTAGGACAACAGGGTATGTGAAACTCCTTCCATGAAATTCAGGAAAGACTATCTCTTCTCTTCTCCACTTAAGCCTTGGGTTTTAGCTCTCCAGCATCCATTTCAGCCTACTAATGCTGAAGGATCTGAGAACTACAGACGCGAGAACTGTGTAAGAAGCCCCCATTTTAAAAGGTGCCAGACACAAGATACATTTATGAATACACAAATGATGGATCAGTCACTGGGACTCAGAGTATTCATAGCTTCTTGCCAGAAAGTTGTACACAAAAAGGCATATCACATGTAACCTTGCCTTCCCTTTTCCGGTTTTTCTCAGATTACTCACTTTATGTCCTTTGGCCCTCTGCTCTCTGTATTCTAACACTGCTGGTCTAACTATTCATTTGTTTGCTCTTATTCATAGAATGTGACCTACAAAAGACTTAGACAACA